TAGTAGTAACCAAAGGCAGAATAGCACTAACTTATGTAATAACTTGAAACTCACCTTGGTTTCTAAAACGTATATGTGCTTATTTTAGGACAACAAACACAGTGGCTATTTATTCTTTACACACACCCTATTATGGTCAAAATAAACATCTCAAATCCCTGTATTTTAATAAGTCAGTTTCACAGATAGGATGTAACAGACTAATCCCAATGAAGTCTTTTCAGACATCAGGATTTCCGCAGTAAATTACTCAACACTTATGTCTAAAATAACATATTCTTGACTTCTGAGCATTCTCTGACAATGCCTTAAAAAAAAAAAAAAAAAAAAAGGGAGCACTACTAATTTTCTTAGCTTTCGCACATCACAACTCTTTGCTACATGTTCCTCAATGCTGATTGAAAACAGATCCTAAATACAAAAAAAGACATACAAGTTAGAGCAGGCAAGCTAAAAATCAATTAAAGGATATCAAACTGCTTACTTCACACAAACATTAGAAAACCCCTGTATTTTTAGGTGTTTTTCATAGTGATAGTATCATCATGGGAAATCTTATCCAGATCAACTGCGCCTGTCACTGGGTACAGTCCTCCTTTGACAAATATATGGTAGCTCAATCTAGTCATGACAGATCAGTATCCCTGGAGTTAGGTAGAAGAAAATGAGTCATGCCCAAGTTGCGTAGGACCAGTCAGCCAGAATCTGGTAGGAGGTCCTCAGAAAAGCAGAGCTGTCTTCAGAGAGCTTATAGCTGAAAGGGCAACAAAAAAACCTGCTGAGGGAGGGATGACACAGAGTCCAAATGTTTCAGGGAGAGAGGGGTTTTAAGAAAGGGTCCACTACAGATTACTACTGTAAGACGAGAACAAAATACCAGCTAAATAATCTGACTAAATCACAGCAGTAAGACCGAATCGTCAGAAGAGGTGAAGCTGATGGTCAAGGAGAAAAGCTCACAGGACACCAGAAGGTGCAGAATGCACTTGCAGAAGCACAGAAGAGTTACAGTCAAAACACTGGAAGGTTGTAAGGCAAAAATACTCAACTATGGGCAAAGGAAGTTACAAGTGCTTGATATCTTAACTCTGCGTGGGAGTCCAATGCCACTCAGCTACTTAAAGGCCAAGAATTTTCCTGGTTAATTGTTTTTTAATATTTGCTTCAAAACCCTCTGCAAATCCAGCCATCCAAAGCTTTTTTAGCTATCTGCCATAGTTACAACAAGTCAATTGCTGACTGAGCTATCCAAACACAGATCTCTCCTGAATGTCTCCTATTCTTTATCACTAAAAATAAAGAATATGATAAGAAACTAAAAACTTAATTAAACTGAGAAACTAATTAGATTTCCAAGACAGATGACTGCATTGAGAAGCTATCAAAAAGTAAAGGATAGCTTGAAGTCATCATCCTTTAGAGGAGAGAGGACTTGAAATTTCTGTCCTCTCAACAGAAATGGTAAGACCAGATCATGATAAGTTTAACTAGAGACAAACAGATAGAAGTAATGGAATTAAAAATATACCAAACCTGTAATGTTGAGTCTTCATCACTAGCAAAATCTACTAGCCGTAAAAAGCAGTTTACTAAGGAAGCAGCAGAAATCTCACAGCTCACAAACTTTTAAGACCAGTGCATGCCAAAATAATCATGCAAAAGCATTTTGCTATGTGACCAAATTCATCATCCTCTTTATATTAGTCCACCACACATGAAGTCTAACACACAACCACCAAATTCCAAATGCATTATTTAAGCCTCAAAAGGTCACTGCCACATTTTCACAGTCACCTTAGTGATACAATTCTATGGGCAGCTCTGTTCAGACCATCACTTGGTGCCATCACAGGAAGCAGACCATCCTTGTTCACCCCTGTTGACCCCTACCCACACAGTCCTCCCTCTTCTTTGCACTGGTGCTAGTGCTTAAAGCAAGTCAGGATAAGAAATGCATAATTTTTCCAGTTGCCTGTGGTTTTTTTCACATCCAAGCAAGTTAAAGCAACAGACAGCGCTCATCGGCACTAGGGGCAACCCAGGTACAAAGCAGAAAGGGAGCATGAACTCCTTCCCTCCTCCTGGGTTTCAAGTAGTGGGATGAGCATGCCTACTCCTACTAGCTCTCTTGTGCTAACAATATTGCTTGCATGGCCAGCTGGGGTCAACTCCAGAGAAAAAAGCCACACTTCAACAGTCACCCCCACGAGAACGGCTCAAGCCAATTGTAACACTGCATCTAAAAACACGTTTTCCAGAAACCTTCGCTTCTCAAATGCCAAAGTCTGATTAATTTGAAGAGCTCAGTGTTAAGATGATGGCTAATTCCAGAATAGAAACTCAATTGAAAGAAAAATCTTCGAATTACTTTAAGGAAAGGTGATGTTATGCAGTGCACTGTTCCTTCGGTAAATACAATGTAGTGCTGTATTAAAAACTGATCTAGCTCAATATTATAAGACATAATTTGAGAGAAATTTATTAGCCAAATACAGGTCCAGGTTCTCTGTCTCACCTCAAAGGCAGCAAATTAATCCACAATCATGGATTAAATTTAAACAAGAAAAGAATCCAGAATTATCCAAAATTATCCAGAATTACAAAGCAACTTAAAAGTCAATGAATAAACAGCATGCAAAAACCCAGTGTCATCTGCAGGCTCAGAACAGAAGGTTCCTTAAAACTTTCTACCAAACTAACTAGGGAACAAGCAGAGCCAGCCTCATGTTGTTCCATCCAGGGGAGACACAGTTTTGTGGATCCCATTTTCATAACCACAACTAAATACCTTCAAGCACAGTGTCAGATGTTACCTATTTAGCTGTCATTTAAAAATACTGTTAAAAAGGCATGTATACACAGGCAAAACAACAGTAATGATAATCTATATAAACAATTAAATAAATCCTTGAATACCTGAGGAAATATGGCAAAAATAGAATCTTAGGCTCTTCCCTAGTGCTAAAATTCATTTTACATCCCTTTTCTGTCAAGTGTTTAGATTATCTTTGCCAGCTTCTGCTCTAACCCACTAATAACCTCTGATAATGGGAACTTGTTTAAAAATCTATGTAATTTGACTGTTATAGGTAAAAACTTTCCAGACTATATTTAATCTAAATCTCACCCACTAAAATTTACTTCCTCTTAATCTACATCAGAACCACAGAAAAAAAAAAGGAAAAAAAGTTTAAAAAGAAAACAGTGCTTCTGTGAACTATTTCTTGCATGCATACATACCCATCCCACAGCCTTTTCAACCACACCAAAATAATGCAATACTTCAACAAAAAAAAGAAATTATTCATGGGTTTGGAGCCTCTCAATCCACATTGCTACTTTCCTCTGTACTTTTTGGGTTGTTTAATACTGAAGACTAAACACAAAAGTGCAATCAAAAAGAAAAAATAAAAGCCTTCTGTAACTTAAACCGATTCCACATATCCAAGGATAACATCCACTTTTGCCATCCACATGTTCCTCACAGACCAATTTGTGACTAGGAGTCCTGAATTATTTCCTACACCTCTGCTTCCCAAACATCTGTATTTGAGCATCCTACAGCCTCTTCCTAGTGTGGCATTTTGTACATAGCAGCTTTTTAACTTTTGGGTTGTACTTCCCTGTTAAACCTGTTAAAATGATTGAATTAAAAGTTTATTCTATTCTTCTCCAGACAAGTGTTGGTATTCCCTCCTAACTCAATGGCACATCTGCAAGTTTCAACTTTCAAGAAAATGACAGATAATATAACTAAAATCACCCCCAGAACAAGTCATCTGGTTTTCTCCCAACCTTCAAGAGACCCTCCAGCTTTTCAAAAAGTAATTTAAAGCTATTTAGGGATTAGTTACTTGACGTGCAAACTTATATGAGCAACTGAAATACCATATTGATCAACCAGATGAACATGGAACTACGTTGAAACCTCCTAAAGTTTAAAACTGATTCTAAGATGGCTTTTAACCATATTTACTTTCCAGACCAAAATGTTATGTAACACAATAAGCCCACTTATAACATGTTAGATTTCTCAAATAATTGTATTTCTTCACCAGAGAAGAAGGATTGCATTTCTTCACTGCTGAGAGGGAGAGGGCATGGCTGACAGGCATCCCAGTATTTTAGTCCATAAAATATACAAAAAAAAAATTACTTTTTTCCATACAGACACATCAAAATTGATTAAGCACAAAATGTAGAAAGCATCAGCACTATACATGGCAAGAAACACTTAATACCACCTACAACCAGATTAATTACGATTAACAAAAAAAAAAAACAAGAGAGAGCGAGCTGTTCCGATATAGCATTTTCACAGCACCCTTGGGAGGTACAACTGCTGCTTCACAGACTGCGGATGTTCCAACTTCCTTAGTTTATACAACAAGCCAATAGATTGGACAATTCAGAATTCAGAAATGTCATGTCCTCAAACAAGACCGCTAGATCACGTAGCCTTGCATCTCCATCTCAGAGTTATTTCGTGAACACTGCTGAAGTTTCATTAGTTATAATTAAAATTCATGTTTTTAAGGTGTTAGGCTGGGAAGAAATCCATGCATGTCCCATCCGCTGAAGTTCAGTAATTTTAGCTCAGGGTGTCAATACTACTCCAAACAACATCAGAAGTTTTTCTCTGATAAGAAACCACACTACTGTGATTATGAAGGGGTACGGGTTATTCTTTTTCTTCTACCTTCCATGCTCCTCCTTCCAATTACAGAGCTTTATAAAAAGCACATTATGAGATATGACAAACTCCTGAATGTTTTATAGCACTTCCCTGCATGCAAATCCCATTTTCCTAAGTGAATTGTCTGAAAAACTGTAAAGCTTCCTACCACTCATTACAAGACAGATTCAGAATGCGTATAAGCAATTCAAAGCCATCAGAGCCTGCTGAAATTAGATTGTTTTAAACGTTTTCAGCCCAACTGCTGGTTTTAACTGCAGGCATTACCATTTGCCCTAAAGTACTTTAGTATGAACATACTCACTTTTCTTAACAGAATTAAGTGAAGGCCGGAATGCTTTCCACACTTTCCTGGAGAACCGAACGCCCCTGAGGGCAGGGATGGACATCCCTGCCCGTGCAGCGCGGGGCTGCGCTCCGATACCGCGGGGCCCGCGAGGTGCCGGGGCGGGTCCCACCGCGCCGGCCCCGGGCCCCGCAGCCGCGCTGGGCGCTCACACACAGACCCCGCACGGGCGGCACCGCGGGAGCCAACGCGGAAGCGGAGGCTCCGGCTCCCAACAATATCGCTATTCAACAGGACCCGGCACACATCCTGCGGCGGGCTCCTTCCCGGGAAGGGCCGCGCCGGGCAGTACCGCAGTGCCGCCGCCGCCGCAGCCGGACCCCCCGCAGCCCGGCCCGGCGCCCTCTGCAGAGCCGCACCGCGGCTGCCCCGCCGCGAAAGGGGCCGGCTCGGAGGCGCTCGGGAGCGCCACGGACACCGCGGGAAAGGCTCCCTCCCCTCGCCGGCAGCCCGGCGGGACCCCCGGGCCGTTACCTGTCGCCGGCTCCGCCGCAGAGGCGGCGGCACCTCCCCGTCCTCCCCGCCGGCCGCCGCCGCCGGCCGCAGCCTCCAGGTCGCAGCCCGCGCCCGCGGCGGCGCCAGGCAGGAGCAGCCCCGGCAGGAGCAGCGCCAGCAGGAGCAGCCCCGGCAGGAGCAGCCAGGTCGGCACCGGCCGCACGCCGGGCGCTCGGAGCGCGCTCATCGGTGCCGCGCTGCAGCGGAGCGAAGGCAGGAACGCGAGCGCGGAGGGAAGGAAGGAAGGAGGAAGGGGCGAGAGCTCCGGCTGCGCCGCTGCCGCCCCGGCGGCTCGAACCCGCTCCGCGCCGGCCCCGCCACCACCCGCCGCTTCCGGCGGCCCCCGCGCCGCCGGGCGACACGTCACCGCGCCGTGACGTCACCCGCAGGGAGCGGCGGGCGGAGCGCGGGTGTGCTCCCGGTGCCGGCTCCCGGTGCCGGCTCCCATCCCGGTCTCGACCCCGATCCCCAGCCCCGGGCAGACCGGACCGGCGCGCCCGGAGTGTGGCAAGACGCGGCCGTGCCGGCGGGCGGTGGGAAAGTTGTGTCCGGCTGCGGGAGAAGCGGCCCCGGCCAGCCCGCCCCGGACCCCGCCGAGGGGCCGCTCTCCCGGGCCGCTGAACCCCTCAGAGCAAACCGGGCGCTTGGCCGAATTCAGGAAAGGCACAGCGGGAAAACAAGGCATTTTGGGCTACAGCGCAAAACCGAGACCTTTGTTAAAATTGCCCTTTTTACGCCGCCGGTCAGGCACCTGAGAGGAGCGTTCTGAACGGGAAGTACGAAAGGAGTTTCGGTGTGTGCTGCAGCGCGCTCAAAACAATAACAAAACGAAAAAAAAGAGGCGTTTCAAATACGACCCGACAAACTGAAATCAAGAAAACTAAGTCTTCACAGAGATTAGACCCCGATTTCATTGTGATTAAAACCTTGACTGAAAAAAAAAGGCTTTTGCTTAAGATGTTTCCATCAAGTCACTGAATGGGAGTAAAATCTATTTCTCCTGTTGAAACCTGTGGGATTTTGCACCGTTCTGTTTAGAGACATTTAATGAGAATAACATAGCCTTTAAAGATCGAATTCAATATAATATCTTAGGTACACAATATGAGAAAATAATGCAGCACAGATGCCAAAAGCTATATAAACATTACATTTCCTATTAACTGTCGCAATTATCTAAGAAATAACAGAAGGAGGTTGAAAGAGTCTTGAGAAAAGCCTTTGTGGGCTTTGTAGACCCTAAGCAGACAGGAGCATGAAATGGAGTGGTACAAGGTACTTCTGCAGGTCAGCAAAATCTGTGAAGCTGTGAAATCCTATAACAGTATTAAATGCAGCAGGAAACAATTTCCCTAGCAACATAGTTGGTGTGCATACTCCATCCCAGCTGAACCATATTTTTATGGGAAAAAAAAAAAAACCAAAACTTTAAAGTACTCATATATCGTATGAAGACTCAGAAAATGTGTCTAAACCTAATGAGTTGTGTTTGAATTGTGAAGTCCGTGCATAGCCTTATTATTTCTGTTGGTTAATACAGCAGCCTTTAGAGGCCAACAGTATCTGAGCAGATCTTGTGCAAAGAGAACAATGTAAAGCCTGTATCTTAAGAAAGCTTGTTCAGTTTGTTTAACTTTAGGGAGGGGAGCTGGAGCAGAGTAAATTTCCCAGCTGGAAATGAAGAAACCAGCTGTTAATTTAATTAATTAGTTAATTTTAAAATACAAACAGAGAGGTATTCATGAAAGGTACATGAAGACGCAAGTTTCCTGGAGTGTGAACTATTTTAGCTCAGAGCCACTGCAGTCAAAGGATATGGACTTCATGAGTCCTATAAAGAAAAACCATGTATTAGAATAGCTGTGAGATGGGGGCACTAATGGAGAGCACTTCAGTGAAAATACCCTAGGCCTGAAATAGAAAATTATCCTTGTTAAAAATCCTCTTTCAATATATGTTCATTTTCACCTCTTGCTTTCAACTATGACCCAAACAGGGAAGCATTAAAAGGATTATTCTCAAGCAATGCCTGTGTTCTGGAGCTGGGGGAAGGTCACCCTAGCAGAAGATTTCACAGGGAGAAGCACATTAACTGGAAACACCTCATGATGCACTGCCACTTCATATTGTGCAGAATCAGCTGCATGAGCTCAGAATCAAGAAAGGGCTTCAGCCTAACCCCTTAATCCACAGTAACCTAATCAAGATCTGGTTTCAATATTGAGGACACAAATTCTGCTGAGTGCCCTATAAGGCTTGATCACAGAATCAGAGAAAAATATATGACCTTTTGAGTTCATCTGATATAACCCCCCTGCTCAGGCCTGAGGAACACCACTCATAACCACATGGCAGTTTCATTTTGGACTGTTGATGGCTACTTTTTAAGTAGAGTGGTTCAGACTGCTTTCCACCTTCCTCATCCACTTACCCAGTCCCTACAGGACTACAAAGATGCTCTGAATACCATGGCAAAAACCATGCTAAAAATACTGTGTGCCACTCTTATCGCCTCAACCATAGAGCCAGTCATCTCATGACAGAAGGCAATGGTGTTAGTAGAACTGTGCGGGTTTTTCTGTCTTGACTTGTCTTTCATCATCCCAGAAAAGGCTTACCAGAAAGATTTGCTCCATTATCTCCTCTGAGAGAGATGCTAAGTAAGGATGACTGTTCTGTAGTTTCCTGTACTTTGCTTTGATGATAGATGTGACATTTGCTTTTTTTCCCCAGTAACTGGAAATCCCATCTGATTGCCACAGCCTTTCTAAGGTGATAGGAAGCAGCCTAATGATATTACTCAGCTTCCTCAGCACCTTTACAAGTACCTTCTGTCCAGTCCTGAGGACTTGCAAACATCTCATTTGCTAGAGTGTCCCCAGTTCAACCTTCCTCTACAGTCAGTAGTAGTCTCCTACTCCAGACTTTGCCAAATAGAGCTCTGTGAGGCCTGAGGGCTGACCTTGCTGGTAAAGAACAAAGGAAAGAGGGCTTTGAGTATGTCAGCCTTTTCACAGTCCTTCATTGCTAGGTCACCTGCCCATTCATCAGCAGAGCCTGTGGTTCTTAGGGTTGCTTGCTTGTAATGAGACTGGTTTGATGGTTTTCTCTGCCTCTGGGTGTAGACAGATGTGATAGAAATGCTGGCATTGGTGTGAATGGAGTATGAATGGTAATATCTGGGTGTGGGGGCACTGGATGGAGCACACAACAAGGAGAGGGCTCTCAGCATGGACTATGCTACTGGGATCCAGATTAGCAGGTCATCACCCAGAACATCTTTGGGCAGTTTCACAAGACACCCCTTTCTGGAGAAAAAGGGCAATGAAGAAACCCTGATGACTCACAGAGGTGAGACAGGATGGGGACACTGATCACTATCAGCTGCTAAAGGCTACCAAGAGGCATATTCAAAATCTGTGCATGGTTGCCAGCCTAAGAACCCAGAAGATATGAGGAGATCTTCACAGTCAGTGTCACTTCCCTCCCACGTAATTGCAATGGATGCTGGACCTAACAGCATCTGGACGTAGACATGGCCATGGCAGATGGGCAGCCTGGTCACCACTGCTGTGGTGCCCCATGGCTGTACAGGCTCATGGAAGCTCCTGTCCTGGTCTGCTTTAAATACATCCACCTTGGCAGCAGAAGGTCTGGCACTGGCCTGTGCAACACTGTTGATAGAGTGTTGCAACAGTATTTCCCACAAGTGGGTATGTTTATCTTTTGCAGGAAGCAAACTGGTCTCAACATCTAAGAATTCAGCCATTTATGTTATTTTCTGTCATGAATCCTGCTCAGTATTAATGGACTCCTACAGTCTTGGTTGAATTTTCTGAGTGTACTTTGCTGTATGGATAACATGAGAGACTTCTTTTGAGTCCTGTCCTCCATCCTTCCATTGACCTTCAGAGCAGAAAGCTTTTTTTCTTTCCATTAGTGTGTATTTTACTGCTTTGAGTTGCCATTTCTGTCAGCAACTTTATCATTCACCTAGCCTTAATCACTACATTGATTTATCTGAACAGAAAAAGGGAGAGGGAATAATCTTCAGAGTTGTTTAATGCCCACAGTGCTTTACAATATATACATTCAGCCATTCCTAAAATAACCCTGAAGCAGGTTTGAATGGTAGAATAAAGGGGAAAAAATGCTTTTGCTGCTGTTTGGTGCCATTTACAATATCTCTAAAGTACAAGCTGTGAGTTCTCTGGGTAGATGTGAGAACTCATGAGCAAAAATATAAACCAGGCTGATAATAGAGAAAGAAATCTTGTTGGCAAAACAGAAACAAAGCACAAGCTGAAAAAAATGATGGAAGGTCACATTACAGAGAGGAAGATTCAGACAATGAAATTTATTTATTAAAAACCAATGCAAATACAAACTGACAAAGTTCAAATTTCGATAAGCAACGACCACCAGATTACTGGTAAATTGTCCAATAAACATTTAAATCTACAAATTATGTGAAAAGAAGCATTAATTTTGAACAAGCTTGAGAGTAAAATTCAAATGTCCTCTCTTGATTAGAGAAGTTACTCATATC